TTGAGTACTTCTTAATAAGTGGGCATTAAGCATGTGCAATCCATGGTTCAAAATAGTTCTAAAGTACTGACAAAACTAAAGTTCTGGTGGTGAAAACTAGGGGGCACTGGTGCTTTGCTTCTACAGTGTTGCTAAAGTTCTGGTGACGAAACTTTCAGAACTCTAACACAACTTTCAAAATTTCATTATAAATGGTAGTTCCTAATACAGTGGTTCTCAACCTGGGGTCCCCAGATGTTTTTGGCCTTCAACTCCCAGAAATCCTAACAGCTGGTAAACTGGCTGGGATTTCTGGGAATTGTAGACCAAAAACATCTGGGGACCCCAGGTTGAGAACCACTGTCCTAATAGGATCTGTCATAAAAATCACCAATAATGAAATAATAATGAAATTTTGAAAGTTTTGTTAGAGTTCTGAAATTTTCACCACCAGAACTTTAGCAACACTGTAGAAGCAAAGCACCAGCGCCCCCTAGTTTTCACAACCAGAACTTTAGTTTTGTAAGTACTTTAGAACCATTTAGAACCATGGATTGCACATGCCTAGTGGGCATGGGATTGTGTTTTGGACCGCTTTATATGACCTAACCAAAATCTAGTTAGTTCCAGCTAGAGTTGGAGGAACGGAATCAGCTGGTACACAACAAGTCAATTCTTATGTCTATTCTAGCTGGAATGAACAATTACATTTACATCTTAGTGACTGATGTACATTGAATTCTGTCAACACTTGCTCCTGTCAATGTTTTTCTTCTTGAATTAATGCTGCTTATTAGGACCAAGCCAGGTAAAATCCTTAGAGGGTTTCCGTGATCAGATCACAGTTTCATTTTGTCTTGAAGTTCAAAGCTGCTGCAGTGCCTCGGGATCATCAGTCTGGGGAAGTGAAGCCATCAAGTGGAGGTGCTTGAGCCTCCCTTCTGTCCTGTTCTGCCAGAATGACCTGCCCCTTGTAAGCTGTGATCTGCCCCATTGAGGAAAACATACTGGGACCATCCCAATCCAAGTAACACCAGCTGGGAGAACAGTGGCTTTATATAGGTAGGGTAGGGACCGCAGCAGGTGAAAGGAACTGACAGGGTATATAAAAAAACACCTTTTCCATTTCTAGTCTTTTTAAAAAAAATTTAAAAGCAAGCTTAAAATCCAGCTCACATTGTATGTCCTATGAAGCCCAACCTCAAATGGTTCTAGAAATGCCACATTTCAATTCTCCATACACATGGGAAAGACTGTCATAGCATCCTAGAGTTGGAAGAGACCTCATAGGCCATCCAGTCCAACCCCCTGCCAAGAAGCAGGAATATTGCATTCAAAGCACCCCTGGCAGATGGCCATCCAGCCTCTGTTTAAAAGCCTCCAAAGAAGGAGCCTCCACCACACTCCAGGGCAGAGAGTTCCACTGCTGAACATCTCTCACAGTCAGGAAGCTCTTCCTCACGTCCTTGTGGACCTGTGTCACTGCTATCTCCCTTTTACATCTCCCCAACTCCCTTATAGAAGTCCTCCCCATGTCTACACCAGATTTTCTTAGAAGCAGACACATTTTAATAATAATAATAATAATAATAATAATAATTTATTTATTTGACCAGTCCTATGGCCATTTTTTTAAACTACATTTTAAAAATAGTATTTCCTGCTTAGGGCCCTTCCACATAGTCCTGTATCCCAGAATATCATAGTCATGTATCCCAGAAAGGAAGTGACAACAGTATAGAAAACTTTACTTACTTACTTAGGCGATCCCTCGTTTTCCGAGGAGGATTGTCTTCAGGTATTCTTGTGGGTCCGTATGTGGCTGTGGAGCCCTATTCTTGCTCTGCATCTTCTTCCGCAGTGAGGGCATTGGTTTCCAGGTGGGAGGCAGTCTCGGTCAGGGTTGGCTTGACGCGCCTTCCTCTTGGCACGCTTCTCCCTTTCGCCCTCCATTCGTGCCTCTTCAAATTCTGCAGCACTGCTGGTCACAGCTGACCTCCAGCTGGAGCGCTCAAGGGCCAGGGCTTCCCAATTCTCTGTGTCTGTGCCAGAGTTTTTAAGGTTGGCTTTGAGTATAGAAAAACACCTTTGAGTATAGAAAAACACCTTTTCCTTATCTAGTCTTCTAACTTAAAAGCAAGCTTAAAATCCTGCTCACACTGTGTGTCCTATGAAACCCTACCTCAAATGGTTCTAGAAATGCCACATTTCAATTCTCCATACACCTGGAAAGACTGTCCTTGTGGACCTGGGGCGCTGCTATCTCCCTTTTAGAAGTCCTCCCCATGTCAACACCAGATTTTCTTAGAAGCAGACAAACACATTTTACTAATAATAATAATAATAATAATAATAATAATAATAATAATAATAATAATTTATTTATTTGACCAGTCCTATGGCCATTTTTTAAAATTACATTTTAAAAATAGTATTTTCTGCCTAAGGCCCTTCCACATAGTCCTTTATCCCAGTCATAATCATAGTCATGTATCCCAGAAAGGAAGTGACAACAGTATAGAAAACTTTACTTACTTACTTAGGCGATCCCTCGTTTTCTGAGGAGGATTGTCTTCAGGTATTCTTGTGGGTCCGTATGTGGCTGTGGAGCCCTATTCTTGCTCTTCATCTTCTTCCACAGTAAGGGCATTGGTTTCCAGGTGGAAGGCGGTCTTAGTTGGGGTTGGCTTGACGCGCCTTCCTCTTGACACGCTTCTCCCTTTCACCCTCCATTCGTGCCTCTTCAAATTCTGCAGTACTGCTGGTCACAGCTGACCTTCAGCTGGAGCAGTCAAGGGCCAGGGCTTCCCAGTTCTCAGTGTCTATGCCAGAGTTTTTAAGGTTGGCTTTGAGTATAGAAAAACACCTTTTTCCCTATCTAGTTTTTTAATTTAAAAGCAAGCTTAAAATCCAGCTCACATTGTGTGTTCTATGAAGCCCAACCTCAAATGGTTCTAGACCTCACTACATCTGAGGATGCTTGCCATAGATGCAGGCGAAACGTCAGGAGAAAAATTGCCTCCAGAACATGGCCATATAGCCCGGAAAAAACTACAACAACCCAGGTTCTAGAAATGCCACATTTCAATTCTCCATACACCTGGAAAGACTGTCCTTGTGGACCTGGGGCACTGCTATCTCCCCTTTACATCTCCCCCACTCCCTTACAGAAGTCCTCCTCTTTTCAACACCAGATTTTCATGGAAGCACACAAACACATTTTAATATTATTTATTTATTTATTTATTTGACCTATGACCATTTTTGAAAAAAATTACATTTTAAAAATAGTATTTTCTGCTTAGGTCCCTTCCACATAGCCCTATATCCCAAAATATCAAGGCAGAAAATCCCACAATATCTGCTTTGAACTGGATTATCTGAGTCCACACTCAGATAATGTGAGATTTCCTGCCTTGATAATCTGGGATATAGGGCTGTGTGGAGGGACCCTTAGTTTTAAAGCTTTTTTTTTTTTTTTGCTGTTTGCTGCTGGATTTTGACAGAGTAGTTTGCCAGCTAATGTCAGTGGTATGGTCTGAAGGGGTGAGAGCTGAAAAGCAAAATAATAATAATAATAATAATAATAATAATAATAATAATAATAATAATCTTTATTTATACCCCGCCACCACTCCCCAATGGGGACTCAGGGCGGCTTACATGAGGCCAAGCCCAAACAACAAATTACAATAAAATAAATCCAAAAATACAAACAATAAACAACAACAACATAATTGCATAAACATGTGAAAACATAGCAATATAAAATTACAACAGGCACAATCACAATGACAATGGGCGGGGTACATGTAATGGTTAAAAGAGAGACTGATTAAAAACTCAGGCGAGATAAGAAAGAAGCAAATTATACTCAGGTGAGATAAGAAAGAAATATATTATTCGCGGAGGAGGGCTCATTATAGTGATGATTGTGGAATCAAGCTTTCCCACAAGGAAGGGGGGGAGCATGTACTCCAATGACAAAACGTTGAGGCTGAGCACTAGTGTGAGGATGTAAACCTATTCATCAAAAGCGCAGCGGAAGAGCCGGGTTTTAAGGTTCTTTTTAAAGGTTTCTAGGGTAGGGGCTTTCCTAATTTCTCCAGGTAGTGAGTTCCAGAAGATTGTGAAGTCCAGGGTCTCACTTGGTCAATAGCAGGAGCGTCATTCAATTAATAAAAAAGAAGAATTACAACTCCTTCCTCCAGCATTTGTTCTCAAGTTTAATACCCCTCAGCTCCCTTATCTGCATGCAACTGCTTTGTGTAAAAAGAAAACATCTGGCCAATGCTCTTGGTGACTTGTTAACTTTGGCCTTAAAACTTGGGAAGTGTGTAACACAGGATGATTACTCAGTCCTAACAATGTGCTTTGCACGGCAGTAGTCGGCCACTGGGTCACAATAATTTCCCAACATTTGGAGCCAGGGCGTGACACTTATGGTCTCCATATTTTGGTGGACTACAACCCCATCCCAACCCGACGGGCTTTGAATGTCTTGACACCAGCCATATTAGGGATCAGGCATTCCCCATCACTGAGAAATAATGTTTCGAGTCTTTAAAAGTGATTATCCACAATAATGTCTGAACACACAAAGTCAAAATGTTACTGTTTATAGATCTATGCACTCAACTGCCTCCAGCAGGGTTGCTGGGCATGAAAAATGTTATTTTACCCTGTTAATTTGTTCCCATTCTTTTACATTGCACTTTGTTTTTGTTTTTATGAATCTTCACCACATATGCTCCGCATATTCATATTAAATTGGGATTTCTCAGAAGTAATTTTGAGCTAAATAAGATGACGAATGGCTTCTATGAGCATTCTTCGGAGATGTTATTTTCAGTGCAGAATACAGCTTATGTAGTCCATGCTGTTTTCTCCATCTCCAAACCATGTGATGTATGTGCTTCTCTTTCTTTCCACCCCACCTCCCTATGTGTTGTTGTTATTATTACTCTTGCTTAAACCCTACTCCTTTGATACAAGTCACTTTCTTTGTGTGATTTTTTCAGAGGGGCTTCTGAACAATGCCAGGGATACAAGTGTCATGGATACTCTACCACTGAATGGTAACCACGGCAATAGCTACAGTATTGCCAGCAGTGAGTACCTGAGCAACTGTGTGCAGATCATTGACCATAGTTATAACCAGAGTGAGACTGCCTTAGAGAAAAAGATTCTGAAAGAACTCACCTCCAACTATATCCCTTCCTATCTGAACAACCACGAGTGCGCCAATGAGCAGAGTAGGAATCTGATGAACACGTTTGTCAACAATCTAGGCAGTGGGAATGAGGATGATGCCATTGTTCTTGACGATGTCAGCTCATTCAACCAAGAAGAGACCATGGGCTTGGAACTCATCCATGAGGAATCAGATGCCCCATTGCTACCCCCCAGGGTGTACTCTGCCGAGAACCACCAGCCTCACCATTACAGCAGGAGACGGATCCCGCAAGACAACAGTGAAAGTTTTTTCCCCTTGCTGACCAATGAGCACACAGAAGATCTCCAGTCACCCAACAGAGATTCTCTTTATACGAGTATGCCTACTCTGGCCAGCATGCCAACCACAGAAGGTGTCACCACCAGCACTCAGACCGAAACCCCACCAGCTAAAAGTGGTGACGCTGATGACGTGTACTACAAGAGTATGCCAAACCTGGGCTCCAGGAACCACGTCCAGCAGCTACACACTTATTACCAGTTGGGGCGTGGCAGCAGCGATGGGTTTATAGTCCCACCAAACAAGGACGGGACCCCAGCAGAAGGAACTTTGAAAGGACCAGCTCACTTGGTCACTAGTCTATAGAACACTACGGAAACATTTTAACAAAGCAAATGCCCCTTGTCCAACACTTGGATGACTGTTTGGAGTTCAAATGGTGATAATATTGTGTGTTCCCCTACTTCATGCTGATCTAAACAACAAACACTTCTCATATCTTTTTAATGGAATTTGTAGGCCCACCCAGAAAGAATGCTAACTGCTGTGATCCCCCCGTCCTGTCCCCAGCCCTGCCCCACACCAGAGAGACTTCCATGTGCTAGATCAAGGGAGGTGGCAGCAAGTGGTCCACTCCTGGATCTCCTCAAATTATACTGTCTGTAAACATTTTCAGATGTGCTCTTCCTCTTATTGCCAAGGACCTGGTTTACAAAAGGCCAAACATGCATTCAAAACGACTAGCGGTGATGCATCTAGACTGGAGTGCTGCACAAAACAGAAGCAAAAATAGTCAAACTGTTTAATCTGAATCTGTATCACATAATAATAATAGTTTTTGGTCTCTTACCACTTGATATAACCACAGCTCCTTCCGCTGTGGAGCAAACAATACCTAAGGAAATAGAAAGGAAGTCTGTAATTGTATGCTGCACAGCATATTTTTATGTTTTTCTGTATTAACTGATGATAATTCTAATGGCAGAAAAAAAATGGAACAACTCCTATGTAATGTACAGATACTAGCATTGCACATATAGTCTGCTTTTTGTTCCGCCAGAACTTGCGTCCCTGTTAATGTAGTGGAAAAAACAAACAATTTTTTCTGTTGTGCTGGTCTTGCAAGTTTGTCTACCAGTAGAAGCAAGAATTTTTCATACATCCTGTTTTGGCCATTTTTCCATTAAAAAATCCACTGGATAAAACAAAGTAATTTACTTTATAAAGACCTTTCTTTTCAATAATATACACCACATTTCTGCCGTATAATATATCTTTCCTCCACACCTTATTCCTTTCCTCTGCTGATAAGTTTGCCAATATACACTTCAACCAGGTCAAATCTTGGTGTTTTTAGGCACAACCGATGAGATGTGGCAGCATTTGTGGCAACCAGCCTTTCACGAAAGTGTTAGGTACCTTTCCAGGAGCCTGGATGATAATAAAAAGAGGATTTCTGCATGTGAACTCAGGACCTCTGCAGAAGACAAAGTCTAATGCTTAGGTGAGGAAATTTTATTGAAAACTGACTCATAGAAATGAATTTTTAAATTGTTTTGAAGCGGGGAAAATCTTTCCATTATTTTTTCCTGCTAGGAAATCTATTTATTTGACAAGATTTAAAGTAATGTGGGCCCTGGTGGCGCAGTGGGTTAAAGCGCTGAGCTGCTGAGCTTGTTGACCGAAAGGTCGCAGGTTCGATTCCGGAGAGCGGCTGTCAGCCCTAGCTTCTGCCAACCTAGCAGTTCGAAAACATGCAAATGTGAGTAGATCAATAGGTACCGCTCCGGCGGGAAGGTAACGGCGCTCCATGCAGTCATGCCGGCCACATGACCTTGGAGGTGTCTATGGACAACGCCGGCTCTTCGGCTTAGAAATGGAGATGAGCACCAACCCCCAGAGTCAGACATGACTGGACTTAATGTCAGGGGACAACCTTGACCTAAAGTATTTATTTGACAAGATTTAAAGTAATGTGGGTCCCGGTGGCGCAGTGGGTTAAAGCACTGAGCTGCTGAGCTTGTTGACCGAAAGGTTGCAGGTTCGATTCTGGGGAGCAGTGTGAGCTTCCGCTGTCAGCCCTAGCTTCTGCCAACCTAGCAGTTCGAAAACATGCAAATGTGAGTAGATCCACGGGAAGGTAACGGCGCTCCATGCAGTCATGCCGGCCACATGACCTTGGAGGTGTCTACGGCAACGCTGGCTCTTCGGCTTAGAAATGGAGATGAGCACCACACCCCAGAGTCAGACATGACTGGACTTAATGTCAGGGGACAACCTTTACCTAAAGTAATGTATTCCTTCCCAATAGGTCAATTCGCAGCACAGGTTCTACCTTTTAAAATTGACAATACGTTTTGTACGGTCACGGAATTGAAATGACCTCATTACTAATATTTGTTGTAACAGTGAGATTTGTTTGCTAACCAATAAACATCTGATGATGATTTAGAAGGCACTGTATGTATGTCCTGTACAGTCTCTCCTAACTTTTTCCATCTAGAGCAAAAGATTTTAGTTCTTTTAGAATGAAGATAGCTATGCAAATAAAAAGATTATTCAGCACAAAATTATGCAGAGAGGGTCTGGATTAAAGTAGTTGCATTAATGCACTTAATTTGCACCTTGTTGATGCTATATATAGAGCAGTCATGGGGAAGTCAGAGTAGATTTGGGATTGTGTGGCATGAAAAAGGAAGAGGAGGAGTTTAGGTTTTTTCCCCCTCTCTATGACAATCCAAACAAAGTATCTGCCTATCAAGGAAAGCTGCTCACACCATAGACCAGGGGTCCTCAAACTTTTTAAACAGAGGGCCAGGTTACAGTCCCTCAAACTGTTGGAGGGCCGGATTATAATTTGAAAAAAAAAATGAACGAATTCCTATGCACACTGCACATATCTTATTTGTAGTGCAAAAAACACTTAAAAACAATACAATAACACTGTTCTACAAATTTTCAGTTTTTCTCAGTTGCGGAAATGAAATGTGCCGTTTCTTAATAAATTTAACATGCTGAATTCAAATATAATAATTAAATGTGTTAATTGGCTCTGGTTTTTATGCAACAGCTATTTCAATTTTCTCCACAATAGGTAATTCGTTAATATTATGATAATGCGCCTAACCTTACTGCATGTATATAAACCGTGAATATTTACTAAATTTTAGTCAAATTATATTGCCAATAGTTTATACATGAGAAATATTTAATTAGTCTATTGTTTATGTTTGTGCAGCAAGAAACTATATTAGTAGGCCTAATGCAGTTGAAAAGTCTGAAAGTTTAAATGTCGCTTTAATCGTGACTTTAGTTTATATCCTGTTTGCTTCTCTTGACTTTTCTTTTGTATTCAAGGAAAGGATTGTCTCTTACAATGCTCCAGCAGTAGTCTGACAGCATTGACGGAGTCCATTTGCCTTGATATCTTTTTTCCATAGTGCTTTATTTACACACGTGCGAGGCATAACTACAGTAAAAAGAACAATGTAAAACGATGTTTAACGATACTGTCTCAGTCTTCAACTGACTGACCCTCACCGTTCAAAAGTCTGGCCTTATATAGGGCTTTCTGGCTTTTGCACACGGCACTAATACTACGTCATCAAACTTTCTAGAATATTCTAGAATCTTCCATAGTGTAAGTCGCAACATGCATTTTTTCAACCATACATGATCACGTGATTGCTTATATCATAAAAACTAGAGCCAATATACATTTTTAAATGTCATTTTTGTTTTCAGCACCCCAAAATCATAAAAGAACAACTATTTTCAGGCCCGCAACTTTTTCTCCGTTGAACAGTATAATTAAAATGAAGAACAATTTTAACAAATATCTTATTAGTATTTCAATGGGAAGTGTGGGCCTTTTGGCTGATGAGACAGGATTGTTGTTGTTGTGTGCTTTCAAGTTGTTTCAGACTTAGGTTGACCCTGAACGAGGGCCGGGCAAATGACCTTGTAGGGCCGTATTCGGCCCCCGGGCCGTAGTTTGAGGAACCCTGCCATAGAGCTTTCCATTAAATTCAAATACCATCATCAGAGAATAGGTTTTGTCTGGTAGAAAAAAATGTTCACTCTCACAAATGTGCAAGCCACAAACATGCATGAATGAATATCTGCACACACACAAACATATACACCTCCTAAACTGCTAAGGTTTCCCTTAGTGGCCTCCCTGTTTATGAGGAGCACATTAATTGCCTTCAGGTAATTAACATCACATCGAGTTTGGTCTTGCATTTTGTCAGCTCATGTGATGCCTCTCCAGGAATGTTTCTCCTTTGTTTTCCTGCTTGCCATTGTTAATTTCATCTTCAAGAAAGAAGCCATCGCTCTCAGTCAGATTAGCATGCTTAAAAACTGGGAAACAATTAGTTGAGAAGAGCCCACTAAATTCACGAGAAAATGAAATAGCCGTGCTGAACTGTATCTCCTAGGGAGTTGTTGAGAGATCTTTTTTGGCATTCCACACCCTGACCTAAGTGCTCTTTTGTCAATACTTGCTTGCAGGATTTTGCAAAATAAATTAAAATAAATTCACCAGTGCTACTTGAAGTTTATTTTTTTGAGATAGATAAGTTGAATGATACTTCCAATGGGTTAACTAGGAAAATCTAATGCGTTAAATAGAATAATTCGAAATAAGACGAGATAGTTCAAGCAGTGGTATGTGATCAAAATAAAACGAATCCAGTGACTCCTATCCTTTTGTGAAGGCTGTGTTCAAACGCTATTCCTGCTTCCAGAAACACCTCATGCAGTGTCTTCTAAGCACAGACATACTGTGTCTCTACATACACTGTTTTGTTTTTGTTGTGGTTGTTTAGTCCTATGCATTTTTGATTAAAGTGGCAATGCCCCCACTAGGTCTGCCGTATTTTGAAAGTTTCATGGCTGGTTTGGACCAGGTTTGAAATCCCGAGAGTTGGCAGATTTGTTCCTCTTCTGTAATCCATGTTTCCTGGAGTGCGATAATACAAATTGGGACAGTCCTATGCAGATCACAATAAATACTAAATCACTGTGTGGAACGAACTGGAAGTGTTCTGGCATCCCAGATGAAGCCCAATGTAGAAATGATCATGGATCTTCTTTGCCATTAGCATTGCTGCCTTTAAAATGGTTTCTACTTCCATTTTGACAGAGTAGACTTACGAAATATTAGGCATGTACAATCCATGGTTCTAAATCAGTGTTTCTCAACCTTCCTAATGCCGTGACCCCTGAATACAGTCCCTCATGTTGTGGTGACCCCCAACCATAACATTGTTTTTGTTGCTACTTCATAACAGTCATTTTACTACTGTTATAAATCATAATGTAAATATCAGATATGCAAGATGTATTTTCATTCACTGGACCAAACTGGGCACAAATACCCAATGCACCCACATGTAAATGCTAGTGGGGTTGGGGGAGGATTGATTTTGTCATTTGGGAGTTGTAGTTGCTGGGATTTATAGTTCACCTATTATCAAAGAGCATTCTGAACTCCACCAACTATGGAATTGAACCTAATTTGCCTCACGGAACTCCCATGTCTAATGGAAAACACTGGAAGGGTTTGGTGGCTATTGACCTTGAGTTAGGGAGTTGTAGTTCACCTATATCCAGAGAACACTGTGGACTCACGCAATGGTGGATCTGGACTAAACTTGACACAAATACTCAATATGCGCAAATGTGAACACTGGTGGAGTTTGGGGAAAATACACCTTGACTTTTGGGAGTTGTAGTTGCTGGGATTTATAGTTCATTACAATCAAAGAACATTTTGAACTCCACCAACAATAGAATTGGCTCAAACTTCCCACATGGAATCCCCATGACCATCAGAAAATACTGTGTTTTCTGATGGTCTTTGGCGACCCCTCTGACACCCCTTCGCGACCCCTTCAGGGGTCCCGACCCCCAGGTTGAGAAACACTGTTCTAAATGGTTCTAAAGTACTTACAAAACTAAAGTTCTGGTGGTGAAAACTAAGGGGCGCTGGTGCTTTGCTTCTACAGTGTTGCAAGAGTTCTGGTGGTGAAAATTTCAGAACTCTAACAAAACTTTCAAAATTTCATTATAAATGGCAGTTCCTAATAGGTTCTGTTATAAAAATCACCAATAATTTATTTATTTGTTTGTTTATTTATTATTCAAACTTATATGCCGCCACTCCCCTAGGGCTTGGAGCGGCTTACAAGAAACAAACTCGAATCCAACACAATTTAAAACAACATATCAAAGATTGAAAGCCTGTCGAAACAAATATGTCTTACAAGCCCTGCGGAAAGCTGATAAATCCCACAAGGCACGGACTTCTGGTGGTAGAGTGTTCCAGAGCGATGGTGCCACTGCTGTAAAGAATCTGCATCTAGTTGCTGTTAGACGCAAGATTTTAAAACTGGGAACTTCCAATAAATCTTGGTCCTCAGAACGAAGAGATCTCTGGGGTTGGTAGGGGGTGAGGCAGTCCCTCAGGAACATCAGCCCCAGACCATGTAAGGCCTTAAAGGTAAGTACGATCACTTTAAAAGTGATCCGGTGCTCAATTGGTAACCAATGCAGCTGCTCATCGGAGCTCTCGCGAGAAGCTGAGCAACTGCATTGTGCACCAATTTAAGCTTCCGGATCACCAGCAAAGGAAGGCCAATGTAGAGGGCGTTACAGTAGTCCAGTTTTGAGATGACCTTGGCCTGGAGTACCATAGCTAGGTCGTCCCTGGACAGATAATGAAATAATAATGAAATTTTGAAAGTTTTGTTGAGTTCTGAAATTTTCACCACCAAAACTTTAGCAACACTGTAGAAGCAAAGCGCCAGCGCCCCCTAGTTTTCACCACCAGAACTTTAGTTTTGTAAGTACTTTAGAACCATTTAGAGCCATGGTTTGCACATGTCTACGAAATACAGAGAGGCCACATCATATTGACCAGTCTTCTTGAATGTTTTCTTTTTTGAGCTTCCAAATACCTGTAACGGGAGGGAGATAAGGGTTTAATATTTACAAGGTAATCTAACAACTGGCTATCTTGCAACAAAGAGTTTATCTGTCACTTCTAAAATGTTGGGGTTAGATTTATTTATTTATTTTTGGAAACACAAGAATGTACTAAAAACAAAACAAAAATGGCAAAAGTGACCAACAATTTTCAAATATGATCCTCTTCAAAAACCACGGCCCAGTGTATTTCCATTGGCTAAATCAGGTAGCCATCAGAGGCCAAGGAGTGCCAGCCTTGGGTTGCCTTAGTAGATGACCTCTGTCTTAACACCAACAGAGGGAGTGTGGTTCTAGACCTCTCAACGGCCTTTGATACCATCAACCATAGTATCATTCTGGAATTCCTGGAAAGGCTGGGAATCGAATGCACTGTGCTGCAGTGGTTCCAGACATACCTTCCAGGCAGGTTCCAGATGGTGGTGCTCAAAAAAGGAGCTGTTATGTGGTGTCCCACAAGGTGACATTCAATCTCTAATTCTCTTTCATACTTACATGAGAGAGATCATCACTGGGAGAGATCATCCATAGGCATAGGGCACAACTGGGACAGAAACTGGATGACTCTAGGAGAGCTTGGCTCCTTTTGAACATCGGAGGAAGCTGGGGGCCCTTTACTGTTGGACAGAAGCAGGTGAGTTGTTATTATTATTATATTTGTAAATCTATATAAATAAAAATGTAATGTTCAATTGTGGGATTAACATAACTCAAAAATCACTGGACGAATTGACACAAAATTTGGACAGAATATGTCTAACAACCCAATGAGTGACCATCACTCAAAAAAATTGATTTTGCCATTTAGGAGTTGCTGGGATTTATAGTTCACCTACAATCAAAGAGCATTCTGAATTCCACTAACAATCGAATTGAACCTCAGAGGCTGGATGGCCATGAGGCTGGATAGACCATGAGGTCTCTTCCAACTCTATGATTCTATAATTCTACTTTTCATGGTTCATTAAAAAAAGTTTCAACCCCCTTCCCTCTTTTTTTTTCTGGTTATGGCCCTGCTAACATTAGTATTAATACTACATTTTATAATTTGTTTACAAGATCATCATGGGGGATCTTGTCCAAGGCCTTACTAAAATAAAGATATGCTACATCCACAGGATTCTCTCTCTCTCTCTCTCTATATATATATAGATAGATAGATAGATAGATAGATAGATAGATAGATAGATAGATAGATAGTGCTGGTACGGCTGTACCAGAAGCTCCAACTTTATTTTCTTTCTGTTATCTGTTTTGCAGTTATAGGACAGGCCTCCTGTCCATCATAATTAAGCTTTGATTCTGCCCCTTGTTCTGGGCTCTGGGAGGGAAAGGAGCCATTTTTTGATCAGTCTCACACAAGGTAGCTAAGTTATAGGACGTAGACCAGCTTGGAAAGGAGCCATTTTTTGGGCAGTCTCACACAAGGTAGTTAAGCTATAGGACGTAGACCAGCTCGTCCCATAGAAAAGCTTCCTTTCTCAAGAGCATCCAGGGGAACAGAGCATCCAGGGGAATTAACCATCCAGGGAAAAAGTAACATCCGGGGATACAGAAGCAGAAATTCCAGGAGAAAGGTCCCAAAAGCTCTGGCTGAGAGCGCACAGCCTCTCGGCATCAGAGGGAAAACAGCCCTGCAGTTTCTAAGAATTCTCGAAGGGAGAACAGCTTTACAGATCCATGGAACTCCAGCTGGGATATCTGCAGGCCTTGGCTGGTAGGTCTACTCAATGCCCAGATGCATTTGGGGTCGGTAGTGGGTCCCACATCAATGAGGCCTGGATAGTGGACAGCCTAGGAGAGGTTAAAAAGGGTTTTTCTTGCAAAGAAAGTACAGTTAATCAAAGTCAGGTACCAGTCCATTGAGGACTAGACTAAGAAAGCCTTGAAGTATTGTTTGAACCTTTGAAGATTTGTTGTTTGTTCCATAATAAAGACTTTGTTGTATCCTTAAAGTCTCTAAAGACCATCACTTCAGAAAAATCCCTGAGAACCTCTCTTTGAGGCCCCCTGGCTTACCGCTGGGCTTAAAGTATACGTCCTATAGAAAAGTACAGCTGGTACAGGCCCAGCGCACGACAGAACAATATATATATACACACACACATACACACACACACACATTTATATTCCTCTCTTCTCACACTGAAGGGGACTCAGTGTGGAGCACAGCACATACACGGCAGATATTCAATGCCAGGACACAGATTCAAGCTTGTAACTCTATCAAAATACATATAAGATAAGAAATGAGCCATTACAATATCAGTCTTACCAGGTCTTGCATGGAAATCTCCCTCCATAAAAAGAGACTTGTTCATTGCTTCATCAATCAAGCTTTTAGCCCTTTGTTCTGATGTAAAAGAAAAAAAGGTTCCGTCTCCCAAACGCATCCATCCAGCCTTTTATGGCTTCCTATATTTATCACAGCCAAATGCTGCTCTCTTAAGCTTGTATATCCCATGCTGACATTTATGCCATGATTTCAAAGGCGTCATGACAGTCCGTTAACCATTCAGAACATATTAGGTGATGATGATAGAAGTGGAATC